CAAACAAGCCACCTGGGAAGTCCTTAAATCGGTGGATAATGCTACCTTTTTCACAGACTTATTGGAAAGTTTGGCACATAATAGTATTCAAGATCAAACCTGGGTGTTCCCCATCGCACCAGATTCTTTACCGTCTGAGCCAGCAGGGAAGCCCCAAAAGTGGAAGTGAAAGCTGCTCAGTCATGTCTGACTCTTTGCGACCCCATGGGACATACAGTCCATGGAATTCTCCAGGCCAGAATACTGGAGCGGGTAGTCATTCCCTTCTCCAGCAGATCTTTCCAACCCAGAGATCGAACTGGGGCTCCCTCAGTGGATTTTTCACCAGCTGAGCCATCACGAAAGTCTCTAAATAACAGAAATTTGGGACTTAACTGGTGGTCCAGTAGCTAAGACTCAGTGCTCCCCATGTAGGGGGCCTGGGTTCGATCCTTGGTCAGGGAACTAGATCCCACATGCCGTTAACTAAGACCCAGTGCAGCCAAACAAGTAAACAAGTACAAATAAATATTTAACCACCAGAAGTGTTGTTCTGGAGGCCAGGAGTCTCAAGTCCAGGTGTGGGTGGGGCCGTATTCCTCTGCAGGCTCCAGTGGGAGGCTCCATCCTTATCTCTTCCAGCTGTAGTGACTCTTGGCCTGCCTTGGCTTCACTCCAGTCTCTGCCTCCATCCTAGGAGGATGCCTTCTTTGCTCTATGTATCTTCTCTCCGTTTTAAGAGATAACAACCATTGGATTCAGGGCCCACCCTAAATCCAGGACGATTTCCTCTCAAGACCCTTCACTAATTTTATCTGTAAGACCTGATTTCCAAATACAGTCACCTTCTGAAATTGTGGGTGGATATGAATTTTAGTGGGGGACACTAGTCAACACTCCCTACACTTGCCTAAGGTCTGTGAGGTTCCAACTTGGGTTAAGGTAGATTTTCCTTCCACATTCAAGTATTATGTCCCCAAAGGCCAACTATTTCTAGATGACCACTGAGAGAGCCACACAGCATAGTTTCCTGAAGACTTAAAAACTTGCTTCAGGAGAGCCTGCATTGCACACCCCGTTGTTCAGCCAACATTCCGAGCTTCCTGAGTTCTTTTCACCCAGCATCACTCTGGAGCATCACCCCCCAGCCTCTCCCCCACCTTTTGGGCAGAGCAATTTATCGACTACTTTCCATTACCTGACTCTCCCATACAGTATATCTTTACCACCAAGGCACCTTATCACAGCTATATTATGAACTCATCCATGGCTCTCTTGAAGAAAGATGAATCGGTGATGTCACACATGTTCCTTTATTTAGAAAGAGAAGTTATTTCAAGTGATGCTGCAATTTACAAAGGAGAGCCCCGAGGAGGCCCCTGCGGGGTGGGGCGCGGGGGGCTGGTAACAATGCTCAGTCCCTGATGTCTACACCAGCAAGCCCAACCTGCACACACAGCAAGGGTGGAAGGAACCTGGATTGTAAGCTCCACAGGGCAGGAGTCACCTGTGAGCATGCATCATATCCTCAGCAGCGCGCACACTGCCAGTGCACAGTCTGTGCTCAAGAGGATATCTTGAAAAAGATAATAGCATAGAAGTAGAACGAGGGATCCTTGTGATGGGACCCTTCTGTATCTTGACTGTTGTTCAGTTGCTCAGTTGTGTCTGACTCTGAAACCCCATGGACTGTAGCACACCAGACTTGCGTGTCCTGCACTTTCTCTCGGAGCTTGCTCAAACTCATCCATTGAGTCAGTGATGCCATCCAACCATCTCGTCCTCTGTCGTCCCCTTCTCCTCCCACCTTCAACCTTTCCCAGCCTCAGGGTCTTTTCCAGTGAGTCAGCTCTTCATATCAGGTAGCCAAAGTATTGGAGCTTCAGCTTCAGCATTGGTCCTTTCAGTGAATATTCAGGATTGATTTCCTTTAGGATGGATTGGCTTGATCTCCTTGCAGTCCAGGGGACTCTACTCTACTGTAGTGGCCTCACAAATCTACCTGTGATAAAATCACACAGCTCTCCCCTCCACTAAAAAGTTTTCCACTGATCTTTCATCTAATGGTTTTATTCACTGCTGATCTTTTCTGTAATCAATTAATTCACTGGGGACAAAAAAATAAAAAAGAATGGTTTTCTAATTGCCATTCTTTCAACATTTATTAGCTTCAATTAGTCAATAGAGAAAAATAATTTTTCCCCACCAGCTATGGCTATTTGGTAACCATGCAATCATGACAGACAGATCAAACCTGTCTGCTGAGAAATCTATACCTTCCTCCAAGTCTAGTCTATCATTTAAGGCAAGTACTGAGTCGAGCACCTCATTACCGGGAGGGAGGTCTTATTATGCCCACATTACAGATGGGAAACTGGAGTTGAAGCAATGTTAAATGACTTGTCTGTGGCATCAAAGCCCTAGAGCCAAGAACGAAGTATAGTTTTTTTCACCTCAAAGTCCAATAGGTGTGAATATGAACATACATGTCCAATACTTTACTCTGGGGCTTGGTCTATTCTGTGATATTTAAGCTCAGTCATTTGAAATAAAATGGAAAGACCACGCTTCAGAAATATGATAGAATCAGAAACCCAAAGAGCCCTGTGAAGGCACAGTGGGCTATGTCTCCATGGTGCAGGTCCTAAGAAATAAATGTAACACTGCATTTAATGGGGAAGAGATGTACAGAGAAAAAATAGCCCCAAACTACCTTCCAGGGTTTCGTGATGTTTACTATCAGGGAGGTGAAGAAGAATTATTCGGATTCTCAGATTTCCCAAACTGGCAACAATCCCTATGCTTGTTCTCATACAGCCCCCACTCCCAACAGAATCCCATACCATGATTGAGCAATAAAAACACAAGTTTAAGAAAAATACCAAAAACGAGGGGGAACCGGGAGACAGATCTCCACTTCAGTCTTGTTAGAAGGGAAACCTAAGAAATAAAGAAGGTGGCTGCCTTAAGAAGGAAAGGAGGAGGAAGAAGAGAGGAACAGCATGGCCCACTTCCAAAATCTGCTGAGATAAAAGGCTCCATGAAATGTCAATCAGGCGAATGACTGTTTTCTCTGGGCAGACGGCAGCTGTGATGGAAAGCCTGAGATGGAGCAGTGAGAGCTAGGGGGTTTCATTCTGCAGGCAGGGCGTCTTGATTTGACACAAGTTTTAGTATCAGTACAAAAGAAAAAAAAACCACGAATAGGCTCTTATAAGAAATGTTTTTCCTTTACTCTCAAAAGACAAGCACTGTTTTAAAGAAAGAAATTTTTTAAAAAATCGAAAAACATATAGCACACCTATTATCTCCCAAGCTAAGCGCTATAGGAACATAATGAACAATAAGGCAGCTCCTGCTCCTAAGAGCTCTATAAACTGTTATTGTTGTTTTGGGACCATTTCTGAAAGGTTTGAAACAGCATTTTCTCTTCTGAGGATCTCAAAATCTCGTAGGTTACGATTTACAACTCTATGCTGGTCTGCTGCGGACCCCATTCCTCACAAGCGAGTGTTAGACAATCAAATTCATCTCACTGTGATATCTACTCAGCCTGTTTGTTGAACCTGGATGACTCTATTAAGCAGTGCCTACAGCCAAATAGTGGAGGAGGAAATGGCAACCCACACCAGTATTCTTGCCGGGGAAAGCCCATGGATAGAGGAGCCTGGTGGGTTACAGTCCATGGGGTCGAAAAAGAGTTGGACGCGACTTAGTGACTAAACAACAACAACAAAAACCAAATAGAAGCCATTTCTAGAAAGAATGAATTGGTCACTTTGATTTCAGTTTAAGGAAAGAAGACAAAGAGTCAAATATTAGGTCGCCCAAAATGTTTATTTGAGATTTTCCATAACATCTTAAGGAAAAACCCAAACAAACATTTGGCCAACCGAGCAACTTGAAAATCATCTATTAAGGAGGCAATATGACACTTTTATACTGGTTTGTGTAATAATTTCACTGCATAAGAAATTACATAGATTGCATAAATCATTAGGTCAACAGCATTTAGAAGAATAAAACAAAATGAATATGATTATTCTGACCCAATAAAACAGGATAAATAATCCAATTCTTAAAAATATCACAAACTTCTCAAATGTGGTTCCTTTTGAGAGGAAGTTTACCTCTTGCATTTTTTGGATATGACTGTGGTTCTATGAAGCTAAATGGAAAACTGCTTTCCAGCTAAACATATAAAAACGCAAGTTACATAGATGTGTAGCCCTCTTAATACTGGATATAACAAAAATAAAGACATCAGGCTGCCTGTTTTTGTCTAAAGCATAGCTTGAATTTTCTATTAAGAGTGACAGTTTATGTAGAATACTACACAATTTTGCATGCTACCAATAGCACAAGTTGAAGAATCCAAAAAATGTAGGAATGAATTTCTTCCTATGGAAAAAGTGTAAATATACTAGATGTTAAAATTTCCACTCTTCATTCAATTATTTGCCCTGTTCAAAACATAAAAATACAAATAAATATTTCCTTACAAATGAAGTACACAGCATATTGTTTGGAAAAAAATGAAAAAGCCAAAAATCTTAATTTACTCATCATTAAATAAAAATTCTAATATACAGACACACAGGATATTTACATAAAGTATAGGAGTCAGTATGTCACTTTCTGTTCACAGTCGACATTTAATAGTATGAGTATCTATGCAACACGACTCATTCCAAATGCAGGTTTAATTCTGCTGTAAGTCGCTCAAGATAATTTTTTTCTCTTTTTCTTTTTAATTAAAAAAGACTTCAGCCTTGGAATTTCAGAAGTTATGTTTGAGTTGTCTGAAAAAATACAATTTCAATGCAAAAACCACATCAAGCATTCAAGAATAAACTGCTGGTGCTATAATCTTTTTGCATGTTTTTGTTTTCACAGGAAAAAAAAACAATAAAGCAAACAACATGTAGGACTTTAAATGGTTAAACGTAAGCAAGAGATATGGACAATCTGCCTCATGCGCGCGCACACACACACACACTCAGAAAACGAAGGAGAAAGGATCAGACGTTTTTCTTTTGCATTTGTTCCAGCTTTCTTCTTAGAAGACCATAATTTTCCTTAGTTCCTGATGCTGTCGGGTCAAGCCGCAGAGAGATCTCGTAGTGTTTTTTGGCCAAGTCTAGATGGCCCCAACGATGATACAGCACAGCTAAAACAGCAAGACATCAATTTCATTGGAAACGTTTCTGAATAACTTGTGGTAGTCCCAACCACTTGCACAAAGAAATATAACAGAACCTCTGTGAGCAGTTTTCCAAAACCATTGTTTAAAACAATAGTGTTTGTACTGCCAACTTTATTTATTGTAATCGTACTCCTTGGTGATTGTCTATTTAACCATTCCCAGTTACTCCCGGGGTTCTGAACCATCTCCCTATAGCAACATCGTTACATAAAGAAGTAAAAGAAGAGTTCCCTAAGTTTGGTGATGCTGCCCTGAAATTTCCTGGAAGCCAGGCTGGATAGGGCTGGGCTGCCACGCTGCTTCGCACAAAGCCACCACGTAGAAGACCAGCTGTTTTTTTTTAAAATCATTTTTATTGATTTATTTTTGGCTGTGCCGGGTCCTCCCAGCTCCGAGGGTTTTCCTCTAGTTGCAGTAAGCGGGGGCTACTCTTCGTTGCAGAGCATGGGCTCGTCATGGGCACACATGCGGGGTCTTCCAGGACCAGGGATCAAGCCCCTGTCCCTTGCATTGGCAGGTGGATTCTTTACCACTGAACCAGGGAAGCCCCAAGACCAGCTGTTTAATAAAGATCCCCTTACACCTTTTGGCAACATCATAGCTTGTCTGTTGCCAGCTGGAATTCAGGGCTCTCACATCAAGATCTGACCATAAAGTGATAGTAAAATAAATCTACTTATTAGAATAGTAAGCCTCTGATGATAACAACGATTTTCTGAGTAAAATGAACTTTCAATGTGAGCAGTACAGCAAACACTGATGCTTCATCACTTTCTTGCAAGGAGAAGCTACAGAATCTACAAGGAAGAGATGTGGTAGAAAAAATATTCACATGACTGAGCCGTCTAAACATCAACAAGCCTTGTTCTAAAAATCTGAATTACTGGGACTTCCCTGGTGGCCCAGTGGTTAAGGATCTGCCCTGCAGTGCAGCCATGTGCCTCGGGGAAACCAAGCCTGCATGCTACCTCTAGAGAGAAACAACTCAGACTCAAGGCAGCCAAAGAAGTATTTTTTTAAAAAAAATCTGAATTACTGAGATATAAAAATAGAAGAAAGGAATTCTAGGGAATATATCACTGTAAATGCATTCTTAGCCAAGACAGAGAACATAGGAATTCAAGGAAGACCAGGTTAGAAGGAAGGTTCACTACAGAAAAGGCAAGCATGCACAGGTCAGATTGCAAACTTCCCAAGTACTTCTCAGTTCACTAAGGCCAACACAGGCTAGATTTGAAAAACAACTCTCACAAGTGATTTTACAAAAATGTATCTATTTCACTAAGTGAAAGCCACTCAGTTGTGTCCAGCTCTTTGCGACCCCATGGATTACACAGTCCATGGAATTCTCCAGGCGAACATACTGGAGTGGGTAGCCTTTCCCTTCTCCAGGAGATCTTCCCAACCCAGGGATGGAACCCAGGGCTCCAGCATTGCAGGCGGATTCTTTACCAGCTGAGCCACCAGGGAAGCCCAGTTTCACTAAGAGTATATAGAATTTCGGTATGATTCAAACTGAAAATTTTCCTTACCCAAATTGCCATGGTAACTTGCCGTATTTGGATGAGCTTTAATTGCTCTGAGGAACAAAGCTTCGGATTCCTAGAAGATGAAATACATACAAGATAAGGTACCACATGCAATGCCAAGGTTTCATGCACAGTTTTATCGCCTATGGTTTTCAAACTTTGCATGCGCTCTTTGTTCCACCAAATCCTCCTTCCAACACTGAGGAGGCCCAGTGGGGCCACACCGTGTTGAAAAGAGGCTGGGAACGGTGACCCACTGCAGGGTGTGATGGAGCAAAGGTGACAGCAGGAGTCAGGACAGTGGCCAAAAAGAGGATGAAATATGCTAAGGACTCTCACCTCCCCCCCGGAAGTGGCGGGGGTCCTGCCACATCGAGCAAGCAGCTAGTTCAGGGTGCAGGGGAGGATGAACAAAGGTCAAAGGGAAAGCGCTGGGCTCTGAGAACACCTGTGGAAGGGTCACTTCCGGTCAGCATTGGTGAACTCATTTCCAGGATTCTCCAGGTTAGGAGGTGGGGTCTGTGTGACCTTTCCGAAGAACCCACAACCCACTGGGGAACCCAGAAGCAGCCTAGTCAGTTGGAGAATTTGAGCAAAGAGAATGAGGCAGAAACAGCCACAACTGGGTCCGCTCTGCACAGGCAGACTTGCAAAAAATAAACGATACCCTTCGAAAGGTTATCAGTCAGCAAGATCTAGAAATTTAAAAATGTATATTGAAGCTATGAAACTCCCTGAGTATTCAACTCGAAAAGGAGAGAAATGCATGAAATATCTTACAGTGGTGTTATAGAAAATTATACTGATAATGCTATCTCATGAGCTGAAGAGAAGTAAATAACATGGGACAAATGGGAATTAATCAGTACTTCTAGGCCTAGCATCATCAAAATCACATACAGCCCCTGATTCAGGAAAGAAGTACTTCTCTCATGAAAGGACTAAGACGCTGCTTCTAAAAGTATGTTTTCTGTAACATCTGTGTTAGGAGGCCAGGATGCTGGTTGAAAATGCCCATTTGCTGACCTCACCCAACTGAGCCATGGGGAAGAATAAGCATTTGTGTTTTCACAGGCTCTCTCGGTGGTTCTGACGCACAGAATTAAAATCTGAGATCAGTGCCATCGGGATTGGAGTCCCCCTGAGTACACAGGGAGTTAAGTGCCTTGTGATTCACGGTCTACTGGCCTATCCTGGGAGCCCCGTCACACACAGCTGAATCAGTTTTCATTGGTCAGAAACTTCTAGGGCTTTGCAGGCGATCTGTAACTTCCTGCAGGTGAGGAGAAACCTGGAAGCAGGGAGAACCAATCCTATCCCGCCTTGGACCAGTATTCTTTCTGTGCAGAGACCACCAGCCCCACTGCCAGGACAGCGTCACAGCTCTGTGCCGGGGAGGGGGCTGGGGAGTCCGCTAGGGCTCCGTGGGCTTCTCCTCCCCTCCCACATCTGAGCAACAGCGATGATGACCAGAAAGCATGTGGATCTGGGCCACAGATTCATCTCTCCGGCAGCTTCTCCAGGATGCAGGCTGACCAAGCCACACTGGTATGCGGCTAGCACGGCTCGGGCCCCGTTCTCAACTTAACCGGGCAGAAGTTACACTTATGGTTCCCGTCAGGTGCTGGCACTCAGCGTGAGAAACCACAGCCTGGGGGCCACACACCTTGTATTTCTGGGACTTCCCCAGCACGTTTGCCAAGGAGAACATCAGAGAGTGATCGTTAGGTATTAATTCCAGTGCTTCTCTGCCAACAGCTTCAGCTTGGGCTAAATTACCTATGAGTGAAAAATGGAAAACTTAAAAAACACGTTTGTGCCGTAGTAGTGTTTTAGTTTAATTAACAAGGCTTTTGTGCATTATGTACAATCATGAGTAAACTATGTAATAAAATAAATGTGGAACATGTCACACACACACACACACACACACACATGCAACATAACACACACACACGCGCGCACGACCTACCAGCTGCAAAGTCCTGGCAGCCCAGCAGTTTTGATATAATGTACTAACAGCTTTGGATTAAATGCTGTCACAGCATGTGAAATCTAACTTTAATTTCCCCTCAGATACCAGGTCTACCCAAATAGGAGAAAACAAGCCTGCAGAATAAGAATATCCCAGCAACCCTTTAATAACTGAGTATTTACAGTACTGAAGTTCACGTTCTACATTTCCTTTAGAAACAAGTGCATTTCTCCCTCCACACTGTACAGATGGCTGACTAGCTTTAAATTCTGCCCAATGAAAACTATCATTTCTTATGGGATGGTTAGATTTTTTTAAACTGGGGAACAGAGGAACTTCCAACTGATCCAGTCTCCCACATGCTAAGAAAACCAGATCATCAAGTTTGTTATCATTGTATCAAAAATAAGGATCTCTGAGGGTAGATTTGAGGGCATGTCCTTTGGGTACCATTCATGAACTTTGGAGCATGGACTCAGAACCATCTGTTTCATAAGCCTGGAAGCCATCCTTATTTATTTCTGGGAACCTCCAGCATCCTGCTGCTGCTGCTAAATCACTTCAGTCGTGTCCGATTCTGTGCGACCCCATAGACGGCAGCCCACCAGGCTCCCCTGTCCCTGGGATTCTCCAGGCAAGAACACTGGAGTGGGTTGCCATTTCCTTCCCCAATGCATGAAAGTGAAAAGTGAAAGTGAAGTCGCTCAGTCGTTTCTGACTCTGTGCGACCCCATGGACTGCAGCCTACCAGGCTCCCCCATTCATGGGGTTCTCCAGGCAAGAGTACTGGAGTGGGGTACCACTGCCTTCTCCCTCCAGCATCCTAGATGATGCCAATTATCACATGACAGGCTTAAGATGAAATGAGATGTTAGCGCACACTGGCCCCATTACTCAACACCACCTCTAAGCAAAGGGTCACTTTCCCAAACATTCATATTCCAGTATGTCAAAGGAAACTCCATATTCCAGATTTTATATTTGCCATGCAATATATTGAACCCTAGTTTCATTAAAAAAAAAAACCTAACATATTATTAAAAAAAATCAGCTCTATTCCTTAACTATCCAATGGTGCAGTACTGGGGACTGACTGAATTGCTACTCCGCACCTGTGTTATCGAGGAGTATGATCATGTTATTCCAGGCAAGGCTGTGCTCTGGCTTCAGCACAGTAGCGTTCCTCCACGCGTTCAGTGCATCCACGTGACGATTCAGATCTGCATACTGAAAAGAAAGCATGGACGCCTGGCAATCAATCAATATTCCAATTCTCTTTTGCTTTCTCTTTCCAAGCTCTAACTAACCCAAAAAAACCAAACTTGTATGTATCAAGCTTCCAAATTTTCATATTAACTCATTTAATTCTCCAAACAGTCTTAGGGATGAAGAGAACTATTCCCATTTCACAGATGAAGTAAACTGAGGCACACAAAGAGGAAGTAACTTGCCCAAAGGTCCACATCTAGAAATGGGAGAGCAGGGAATGGGACCAGCTGGTTTAGCTCCTCAGCCTACAACCTTTTAACTACAACCCATAACTTAGTGATTCCAGGTGTTAAATGATGCTGCAAACCACTGAAAAGAGGTAAGGGAAAAAACGAAATCATCAGTATTTTTCTAGAAAGATTTCATATAGTCTAGGTATTATTTAAGTTATTATTTTAAATGGCAAACAAAACATTTAATGTGATTAAGCTCTATGTGTCAAGCTCACCTTGTGAAGAATGGTCTTCCTGCCTCTATCTAAGCTTCCTATGAAACTGTGAGTGTATCAGACATACTTTATGAAGTCTCTGGAAAAGTCTTAAGCAAGAACATAACCCCCTTTGTCAATCTGGAGCCTGTTTGCCTCCCTCAGGAAGGAGAGAATGATGTACTGCTGTCTTTTGAGAGAGAATGTTAACATCGATAATAGAATACAAAATGGTGAGTTCTCAATTTACATAGTTAATAAAAGCATGCAGAGGGAGAAAGCGATGGGAGTTTGTAGCAGGTGACCCTCTGGCTCGCTCTGAAAGCGAGAGTCACTCAGTCGTGTCTACTCTTTGCAACCCCGTGGACCATACAGTCCGCAGAAGTCTCCAGGCCAGCATGTTGGAGTGGGTAGGCATTCACTTCTCCAGGGCATCTTCCCACCCGAGCTCGAACCCGGGTCTCCCACCCTGCAGGCGGATTCTTTACCTAGCCCTCTCTAATTCAGTTCAGGTGCACATCTCAGCTGAATGAACATGGTTCCTTTAACTCCGCAACAAAGTGCACATGATGACAATTTATCAGAATTTAAGGCTATTTCCTTATTTACAATCAAGTCTGTCTTTTCCTTAGACAACAGAAACTGTGACTTGCCCTGTGACCCACACAGTAAATAGGTGACATATTATGCCAGAAAAAGAAATGTTGAGTGAATTATGGAAATATCTGTGAATATCCATTTCCTAAAGATGTTGCTGAAATTTCCCACGAGACTCAGGAACTCTAGTTAAAGTACTTTAGCTCTTAAATGAGGAAATATGTAAAGTTAAAAAACTTCTAATAATTTAGGTTGCCTAATTATATCAACATTTAATTTCTTCTTTATATTTGATATTTCACTGATTTCTCAGCCAATTCTCTCCAGCAAGTAAGACGCATTTGAGTTACATGGATAAGACTCGTAGGGATTTTCCAGCAAGAGTACTGGAGTGGGTTGCCATTTCCTTCTCCAGGGGATCCTTCTGACCCAGAGATCAAATCTGGGTCTCCCGCATTGTAGGCAGACGCTTCACCGTCTGAGCTACCAGGAAAGTCAGTTATATCAACATTTAATTTCCTCTTTATATTTGATATTCCATTGATTTCTCAGTCAATTCTCTCTAGCAAGTAACATACATTTGAGTCACATGGACAAGGTTCATAGTGACATTCGTTCTAAAGCACCCAGGAAAACCAGCATAACTTCGTTACATGAACATTCTTTATGTATTTTATTATTTATTACTATTTATTAAAGAATAACACCAGACTGAACCACATAACATTTACTCTTATTTTGCCGTGAACTGGCTCAGACAGTATAAAATCTGCCTGTAATGCAGGAGACCCAGCTTAGATCCCTGGGTCAGGAAGATCCCCTGGAGAAGGGAATGGCAACCCAACTCTAGTATTCTTGTATCAAAAATCCCATGGACAGAGGAGCCTGGTGGGCTATAGTCCATGGGGTCACAAAGAGTGGACACGACTGAGCGACTAACACTTTTACACACTTGCCTTTTATAGCAGCTATACAAAGTGAACAAGCACTTTAAGTGAAACAGAGAAAAATGGTGATTTCACAAGAACTACTCACCCAGAAAGTAAACAGGTAAATAAGCACATTATTTTCCTAATATTTCTATGCTTAGCTTTCTATGCCCTGCAAACTACATTTCCCAGGGTGCTTTGCTACTTGGCTCCTCCCAGTTAAGTCTCTGCCAATAGGAGTCACAAGTGATAATCAGATGGTTGGACAAGGAGTAGCCCTGTCCTCCATTCTTGCTTTCTCCTTCCTTATTATCCTTGGCAGCATCTCTACAGTGGTCATGTCCCCTCCTCCACAGTCCCAGGGCTGGACTGTGGTTGTTCTATCACCATCTCAGTCTTCAGTTCAGTTCAGCTGCTCAGTCGTGCCCGACTCTTTGCGACCCCATGGACTGCAGCACGCCAGGCCTCCCTGTCCATCACCAGCTCCCGGAGTTTACTCAAACTTAAGTCCACTGAGTTGGTGATGCCATCCAACCATCTCATCCTCTGTCATCCCTTTCTCTTCCTGCCCTCAATCCTTCCCAGCATCAGGGTCTTTTCCAATGAGTCAGCTCTTGGCATTAGGTAGCCAAAGCATTGGAGCTTCAGCTTCAGCATCAGTCCTTCCAATGAACACTCAGGACTGATCTCCTTTAGGATGGACTGGTTGGATCTCCTTGCAGTCCAAGGGACTCTCAAGAGTCTTCTCCAACACCACAGTTCAAAAGCATCAATTCTTCAGTGCTCAGCTTTCTTTATAGTCCAACTCTCACATCTCACATCTCAGTCTTCAGGTGATGGTAATTCCTGAGATGTGTTGCTTTCCATGAGCTCTTAAATTTTGGGGGCACCACCTCATCCCGTTTGTCCCCCTAACCCCAACGTGGTTTCCTTTTACTCCCTGAGTTAATATCATCTTTCCACAAGTGTTTTTCCAACAGATGCATAACCCGTTCCTTGTACTGAATCTTCCCTAACATACTTAGTATGGTTTTGGCTTTCCTGAATGGGTCCTGATTGATACAGTCAGTCTTGCACAATGAACTGTGTCCAGTCACCATTACCACGGTTGTCTGGTATCAGTGATGTGTCCCAAATAAGGGCTTCCCTGGTGACTAAGACTGTAAAGAATCTGCCTGCAATGCAGGAGACCAGGGTCCCAAATAATCCAGCTCCTTCCCATTTCCTATGTCACATGAGAACTGCATTATATTCCCTTCTTATCTGGATCCAAGCATCAAAACACATTTCTGTCCCCACTACTAAAGAGTGACTAAGGAGGATTTTTTTCCCAAACAGAAACTCTTACGTTAAGTCCTTATTATTTGCTATTATATAAATATACTGGTTGAGCTTTTAAAGATTAAGCTCTTAATGCTTTTAAGCTGTCAAGCAGGCAAAAGCTAGATAATTAAACCACAATAGAGGACAGAATCTTTAAATAAGCAAGAACAGTTGGCAGGAGAGAATGCAGGAAGATTACTTCATGGTAGCATAATTAGTAAACAATATACAGAGAGTGGCATAAGGTCTTCATACAGTTAAGACTACAGATGATCTTCTACGTGAGAGTGCGGATGAGTTCCAGGGCCTGGAGCACATTGCTAGAAACCTCTAGTTTATATTCTATCTTCCTTTCTTTGAACGTTAGCTTGGCTCATTTACCATAAATTCTCAATTTCCCAAAACCCAAGGAATTGCAGCGACTGGCAGCTACTGCAGAAAGGAAGAAGACTGCTAAGTATTAGAGCTTTATAGTATTAACCCAGGACTCCAGGCAGATACACTCACTTCACAAACAATAATGAGAAAAAAGAGCTGCTTCCAAAAAAGAGGAATAAAAAGGAATAAAAAAAAGAATTCAACAGGGGCTGGGGGAGCGACGGATTGGGAGTTTGGAACTAGCATATACAAACTATTATATAGAGAGTGGATAAACAACAAGGTCCTCTTGTACTGCACAGGGAAATACATTCAATATTCTGTAATAAACCATAGTGGGGGGGGGAAAAACAAAGAAGAATTCATGTGGATCTCAAGAATACCATGTCAATGCAAGTCCAGATATAGGCACAGTAAACAGTAATCTCTGCCATAACCACCAAGGCAGGTATTTGGATAACAGCCAACTTGTTTCCAGACCTCCTTCTCACTTCATGAACTTTGTAAGAATCCACCCTGTGTTATAAGTGATTGGATTTTCTGGTCTTTACTGATATCATTACAGAGAAGTTGTATTGTCTGTCCCATCTCCAAGAAAATAATACAGAGGACCAGAATATGTGTGTGTGAGTGTGTGAGAGTTAGTCGCTCAGTCGTGTCCGACTCTTTGTGACCCATGGACTGTAGCCCACCAGGGTTCTCTGTCCACGGAATTTTTCAGGCAAGAATACTGGAGTGGGTTAGTAACCAAAATTTCCATTAAATAATCTCAAAGCCCTTTTGTGGGCTCCTGAGCTTTCTTTTATGGGGGTGAGGGGTGGTTCCCTGTAAAAACACAGGGAACCATCCCTTGAGACAGGAGAAAAGGAAAGCTCAGAAATCACATTATGGGTTTGTTTTTTTAATTTCAGTTTTTATCCGTGTTTTAAAAAACAGAGGAGCCAATGTTTATCAGGAAGTAACCCCTTGGAACACTGTTTTACAGGGCACAAAAGGACTTTAAAAATTGTAATTTACTCCTTAGTTTAACCTGTTGCCTTTATGATCTCTTAAAACTTGGCTAATTCGAGTTGGCTTGCTCTCTAATTAGAGCTTTAAAAAAAACTCCCACATATTAGGAAATCAAATAGCTGCCTTCAACTGAGATAAACGTACGTGAAAGGACTTCATAAGATGTAGAGGACAAGAATGGGTGTTACTATTCTCATTTTTTTTTTAGTGTCTTTTAAAGAAATTACTTATTTATTTTTGGCTGTGCGGGGTCTCTGTTGCTGATAAGCCTTTTCTCTAGCTGCGGTGAGTGTGGGCTTCTCACTGCCGCGCCTTCTGTTGCCCAGCACAGGCTCCCGGGTGAGCGGGCTTCAGTAGCTGTGGTTCCCGGGCTCTAGAGCTCAGGGCTCAGCAGAAGCGGCAACTAAGCAAGCTGCCCTGTGGCATGTCAGATCTTCCCTGACCAGGGATCGAACCCGTGTCCCCTGCACTGCCAGATGGATTCCTATCCACTGGGCCACCAGGGAAGTCACCCGTTCTATTGTTTTCACTTGAATGAATTTAATCAGTTTTGCTTTTAAAATCCCACCTGAAGGAATAAAATATTTTAAATGACCTGATCACTTTCTTCTCCCTGGTGACGGTCAATCCTATAAGGCTGGACTAGGTTCTTCCTGATCAATCTCTGTTTTCCCCCAAAGTACCTATGATATAGTGCTACATAAAGAATCTGCCTGCAATGCGGGAGACCTGGGTTCCATCCCTGGGTTGGGAAGATTCCCTGGAGAAGGGAAAGGCTAACCACTCCAGTATTCTGGCCTGGAGAATCACATGGACTGTATAGCCCATGGAATCACAAAGAGTTGGACATGACTGAGCGACTTTCACTTCACTAAGAGGGCAAGTACCAAACAGACATTACAATGATAACAGTATAAAGAGGGAAACAAAATCATGCTTTTCTTCCGCAGCCACAGGGAACCTTACCAAAGGTTGGGTAAGCTTACCAAACGCCCCAGGTTGTAGTAACAATCTGGGTATTTCCTCCGGTGCTTGATCGCCGTCCGGTAACTTTGCTCAGCAGCTTGGAACCGCTTCAGGCTGTTTTGTACGATGCCTAAATTCATCCATGCGGCAGCAAAGTCTGGCCTGGAAGGTGAATGAGGAAAAGAAAGCATCAGCCCCCAGGAGGCAGGGGTGCCCATCCTCGCCGTGAACACAATTATAAGAGGACACTTACTGTATCTGTACAGCCAAAGACAGCAGCTCCTCCGCTTCCTGAAGCTCGTTCCTTTCTTTCAGGATGTTTCCCAGATTATTCATGGCATGGACGTACTTGGGATTTAATCTGGAAGTGGAGAGAGAAACCTGCAGTCTTCACCCAGCTCTCAGGCACTGGCAAACCTAAAGTTGGGGTCCTCGTGGGGACAGGTTTTTAGCACTAGAAAGTTACAATAAGACATGGATACTGTAAAAATGGCATGTCTTCTGAGAGATAAGCTGCTTGCAGTACCTCACTGCTTGCCGGTAGTATCTGATGGCCGCAGTCTGATTGCCTTTATCAGCCAGGTTTTTGCCAACGTTGTAGTGAACCTGAAAAGAGAGGAAAAACTTGGCTGTCAGCTGTCAGGCTTCTTTGTTCTGACCTGAGAGGCCCATCATACCTTCTAACTGAAAACAAAGGATTGTTGTTGTTGTTTAGTTGCTCCGTTGTGTTCAACTTTTTGGCGACTCCATGGTTGCTCACCCCACTGTAGCCCACCAGGCTCCTCTATCCATGAGATTTCCCAGGCAGGAACACTGGAGTGGGTTACCATTTCCTTCTCTGGGCGATCTTCCTGACCCAGGAACTGAACCCATGTCTCCTGCATCTCCTTCCTGCATTGGCAGGTGGATTCTTTACCGCTGAGCCACCAGGGAAACCCATCAAAAGTATTTCTCCATCATCAAATGTTCCCTTTGGAGGTGTACAATGTAAAGGCCAACAGGAGCCTCAGAGGAGATGATGCTACAGAAATATACCCATCTGGGTGAGTGCTGTGTGATGCTAATGACAGTAACCCTGGCGGCTGGTGGGTGCTGACGCGCTGCTTTGGCGTCACTGAGCGTCTTACCCCAAGCTGTGGTGCTGGATTTGAACTGAGGCTCCAAAGCCTATGTTTCTTCTCCCTGCATCACACCCATTTTTGAGGGGGCCAGGCAAAGATGGGCTGGCTGCTCAAGGCAATTTCTAGACCCACTCACTCACCCTGCTATATCTCTTCAGGTAAGATAATGTTTCTTTGGGGTGTTAAGGGCTGCATCATTGTACCACAAAACTCATGTTGCATTCCTAGCCACTAGTACCCCAAAATGTGACTGAATTGAAAGGCAGGGTCTTTAAAGAGGTCCTTAAGATGAAACGAGGTTCTTGGGGCCCTGATCCAATCTGAATGGTGTCCTTAGAAGAGGAGGAAATGGCGACATACAGTGAAACACGAGGGATGCCCACACACAGAGGAGAGACCCCAGGAAGACCACATGAGGGTTTAGCAAGGAGTCCGTGAGCCAAGGACAAAGGCCTCAGGAGAAACCAGCCCTTCTGATGCCTTGGTCTTGGACTTCTGGCCTCCAGAGCGGTGAGAAAATAAAATTCTGTTGTTTTATGCCACGCAGTCCACGGTATTTTGCTATGGTAGCCCTAATGGACTGATGTAAGGGTTTCCAAGGTGGCTCAGTTGTAAAGCATCCTCCTGTCCATGCAAGAGACACAGGTTCAACCCCTGGGTTGGGAAGATCTCCTGAAGGAGAAAATTCCAACCCACTCTGGTATTCCTGCCAGGAGAATCCCACGGTGAGGACCCTAGTGGGCCCCAGTTCACAAGGTGGCAAAGGGATTGGTTGCAAAGAGTTGGGGGTGGGGGAAGTAGAGGATGAGATGGTTAGATAGCATCACTGATTCATTCAATGGACATGATTTTGAGCAAACTCCGGGAGACAGTGGAGGACAGAAGAGTCTGGTGTGCTGCAGTCCATGGGGTCACAAAGAGTAGGACACAACTTAGCAATTGAACAATGACAATGGGCTGACATATGGTGAATTACAATAATGGTTTGTATACAGTCTAGTAGCATTATATCTGAACATTCAAAACCCCTTCTAAAAGTATAACCACATCTTGCCTTATCAATCTTCTTCAAAATATACTAATATTTCTAGAAGGGTATAGAACAGTGCAATATTCTTTAAGCACACATGTAGCAGAGATTTGTTTTTTAAGTCCCAATTTTAAAGTCTATATTTCTATTTTTACTTCCTCAGACACAAGGAATCACAAAACAGGAAAATCATGGGTGACAGAAATGTGTAATATTGTGCAGCACACTATATAATTTAAACTCCCCGAACCAAATTACTGTCTATCCATAGGTATTACCATCTTCAAGTTACAGCTTGGAGGAGGCTATGGCTGGATCATGGGTTTGGAAAAGTGTGTTCTAAATGGTTTGATTTTGTGCTTGTCCCAGCCCCAGCCTGGAAGTGTTAACTTCACTCCTGTCCCGCACACGAAGGGAGACTCCAACATGTGAATGTGGATGTGCCTGTGGTCTCCAGAATACAAACACAGCTCCTACACAGACTTCAACTCAGCGAGCTCCTGCCACTTCCTGGGAAATTCTCTTTTCTCAATCAAATGCTCAGACAAAGAGCTGAACTGCCCTCTGCAGTAGAGCCACTGTTCTGTTAGACCTGAAGCCACAGACCAGGAGATCAGTGGAGGGAGGAGGGCGCCTCTGCAGAATCAGACTGCAGTGAAGTCAGTGGAACCAGTTAAAGATCAGAGAGCCCCCTAGAAGGCAATTGGCCCCTAATTACGACTAGAGAACAGGCTTACCCAGAGGCCAGTCTTATCCTATGGGTTATATGCAGGGAAATATTTGAACAGAAAACCCACTTGAAAAACCAAAGCAAAATGCTCAGAAACAGTTTACTTAAAATAGAGTTTAAAGAATGATTTTTGTTTCCATGGAATGTAAAGGACTGAAAAAGCCTGTTGATCCTTGACCCTCCCCTCCAGCCTTTGTGATTCATACGCCAAGGCAACGAACCAGCACAGAAGCCACAGATAAGACCCACGGTCAAGGACATGTAGCTATGCATTCAATACAGTGCTAAAACCACGGCTTCAAATTTTCTGTCAACACTTGATGTTAAAATGTTTTAAACACGTAAAAGTCCTATCACCCATCCTGCCTCATCCTTAAGGGAATACCTCATTGTGGTAAATGATCCCTTTCACTGCTAAACAAACTTAGCATTGCATCCCAGGATTGATATAAAACGCCACATACTTTCAGGCCTCGGAAACGAAGAATGGCTGCAGTATAATCAGATACTTGGTATCTCATCCATAGTAGGAATTTAATTTCTGTTTGGCTCAATTCAATCACTAACATTGAGTTCCTACCAGATGCAAGGCACTGTGGGTAATTCCAATGCCCGACCAGGCTCTGTAAATCTGTAAATCTGGGCCTGGTTGGCAGCACAGTTGCCAACTGCTAAGTTAACAGTCAATGGATGGAAAGTGGAATGAGTGCAGCAAATGCTGCACTCTCCTGCAATAGAGTCAAATGAAATCATCCTAAAGGAGATCTCTTCCCTGAAATCAACCTAGCTTTCCCCCCCTGCCAAAAAAAAAAAAGTGTAGATAGTTTTAATACACTTCAATTTAATAGTACCAAGTAAAACAACAACAACAAAAACCCCAAAACCAACAAACAAAAAACCAACTCTATCTTGCTCATACTAAATGTGCTTAGTTGCTCAGTTGTGTCTGACTTTTTATGACCCCATGGACTGCAGCCCGCCAGGCTCCTCTGTCCACAGGGATCCTCCAGGCAAGAATACTGGAGCAGGTTGCCATGCCCTCCTCCAGGGGATCTTCCCAAACCAGGGATTGAACCCAGGTCTCCCGCATTGCAGGCAGATTCTTTACCTTCTGAGCCACCAGGGAAGCCCTATACTGAACGGCATCACTAAAAAATGTTCCTGGAAAGGCTTGTCACTATCGGCTGACACTTTGAAGATGAGATCTTATGTGTATGTCTTAAATTTAAAGGAGAAAACTACATACACAGACACACAGTTGTGTGCTGTCTGTCTGCACAGCCCCCCTGAGTTTTCTAGCCTGTAGTATATGACATCACTCACGCCGTGTAGGCTCACACATCACATGGTCCCATCCCCGCTTGTTCCCCAGGGTAACCTGGGTGCAGCACTGCCCCAGGTCTCTACCTACCACCTGAGCTACTGACCCAGACACCGTCAGCTCCATCTTTCTGTGCTTCAGTTTCTCCCATTTGGAAAATTACGGAACATAATAACCGCTCTCTAAAAACCTTGGAGGGAGGATAATGGAAATTAATGGCAGAGCCTCTACAAAGAAATGTGAGTTCCTTCTGGGGAAGAAGTACATAAGTAGAAGGGGTAATTACTGCTATTCAAACAGAAAAGTAAAAACAAAGCAAATCTATTAAAATTTATGAAATTAAATCACTGGCTGATTTACTTTCAGTAGCATAACATAAATGTCTAGGTCAGCAAATCAAATCGACAATAAAAGGTTGAAGCAATTCACTCTTTTATCTAAGTCTCTTAACTATAGAACATGAACAAGTTTTTTTAAACCAAGGAAAAGATAAACAGGGAGTCAACACGTTTTATATGATACTATCCTTCACTCCAGGGTCACAGTAAGACATCAACTATTCATTAGATTTCTTCATATAGTTTTGCTTGAAATCACTTCTTTCTCTTAAATATAGAATGTGGAAATGAGATAGAACTTCATGGTACTTTTATTGCCCCTGCTCCAAAGAGGATGGCTTTTGGGCATCTGAGGAAGTTCCGATCCTGAGGACACCAGAAGACACCATTATTAATCACATAATGATCTATGCATGCTAAGTCGCTTCAGTCGTGTCCGACTCTTTGTGACCCTATGGACTGTAGCCCACCAGGGTCCTCTGTCCCTGGGATTCTCCAGGCAAGAACACTGGAGTGGGTCGCCATGCCATCCCTCCAGGGTATGTTCCTAACCCAGGGATTGAACCCCCAAGTCTCTTATGTCTCCTGGGTTGGCAGAAGGGCTCTTTACCACTAGCACCACCTGCCTGCTACTGCTAAGTCACTTCAGTCATGTCGGACTCTGTGACCCCATAGACGGCAGCCCACCAGGCTCCAATGTCCCTGGGCTTCTTCAGGCAAGAACAATGGAGTGGGTTGCCATTTCCTTCTCGAAAGCCCTAATAGAAAACATTCTCACTTAGCTCCTTGGCTTCCCATTTTGAGCAAGTATCATTCCCTTCTTTTCATTTAATGGGACAGCCAAAACTAAAAGGAGCCTAAGAAAACAAACATTTCTTGAGCACCTACTGTGTTCTAAGTACCATGTCAGGGCACTTCAGAGGCTACATTCATGAAGGCCTCATGACAAGCCCAGGGGACAGCCATGGTCCCCCTCCTTGTTACAGATAAGGGCGTTCAATGTTCAAAACAGTTTTGCCCAAAGATGCACAGCTGGGTAAGCGAAGAGATGGAGTTCATCAAGGATACAAGTGAAACAAATTCCTACCAGACCATGTCAACAAGAACACTCCCAATTTTAGAGTCTATGCATTCTATTTTTACCTAATCTGGCAAAAACAATTCCAGGCAGAGAAGCCACAGGTGATGGAGACGTGCGTACCGCACACCACAGAACATCCTTTAAATTCCTAAACCAAACTGCTGTCCACTGGGAGGTGTTATCATCTTCCAGTTATAGATTGGAGGAGGCCAGAGAGCATGTTTCAAAAAGTGTGCTCTAAGGAAAAAAAAAAAAAAAAAAAAAGTGTGCTCTAAGAGGTTTGACTGTGGGCCTCCCCAGACCTGAGCCTGAATGCGTGGAGTTGCCCACCCTGCCACCACCCGATCCACAATCGGACCAACTGAAAGATGAGTAGAAAGGTGTTTAAGAAATCTGCTGTTTCCCTGACACTGTCTGGTTTTAATGATCTCTTTTTAATTATTTTGGCTAAAGTGTAATTGTAATAAGCTTTGTTAAGATCATGTTAAGAAAAAAAAAAAGAATGAAAAAGAAAACCCCCAAGTCTATGACCAAGGTCATATTCCGGATTCTCCTCACTCAGCTGTCGAACTTCTTAAAAATGTGGCAGCCAACATACCTTGGCATTGAGAGGGCACACAGACAGGGCGCTTCGGAAAAGCTGGTCTTCGCTCCGCCACTCACCGCTGCGAACCACGCATCTCAGCGTGTTTAGGAATAAAGTTCCCAGGATGAGAGCGGCAATCAGTTTCTTAAGAGGAGAGGGACACGGGAAATGTCATTAGTAAAACCCACCCATCGTCTTGGTCAAGAATGGCGCCCACCTCGCTGGGCCAATACCTTTTTCTTGGTATGTTTACTGAGCACTGCGAGTCCAAACGTCAGCAGCATGCAGTAGCCGGCACTGGGAAGGTACAAGACCCTCTCGGCCACCACAAAGCCCACTCGGAAGAACAGGTTACTCGCAGGAAGAAATGGGATAATGAGGAATCCCAGGCCCAGCGTGAGGATCCTGGAAGATGAGAAGTAGTTAAAATGGCTACTTTTAGAATTCTTAAGAAAAATATTCTATTCTACATGAAATCCACAATAAAGATGCCCCTTCCCTTTTTTTTCTTTTTTTTTTTTTCATGCCAGCAGTTAAGAGGAGGCATCAGTGGAGAGGGTCTAACCGAGTACCATCAGGATAAGACAGAAAAATCTTACTAAGGCTACTTAGCATCGAGCATGAGGATAAATTTTAGAAGTCCTCAAATTCACATAAATAAAGTTAGAATGATTACTTAGAGCAGTCTTATAAACTTGCCTGCTTCTAACTATACCTCAAACTGTGTAGGTGTCAAATAGCTCAACACCTACAATATCCCAATTGGGCTAATTGGGATATTGGTCCCAGTTAGTCCGATTTAGTCCCCTGACATTTAACAGGATGTAATGTCATTTAACTAGTTTAAACTTTACAAGACCTGAAATAAACTCGTATCATTTGGGGATGCTCCAGCATAAATTTCAGTTGAGCAAAAAGAAAGCTGAGAGCAATGGGACACTTGTGGAAGCAGGTAAGCATTCCCAGAGTCCCACACGATGTAAGTGGGTGAATCAGAGGCTGGGTCAAACAACAAGGTCCTTCTGCACAGCACACAGAACTATATTCAAAATCCTGCAATAAATCGTAATGGAGGATACGGAAAAGAACACATATATGTATAAACTGAGCCACTTTGCTGCAAAGCAGAAACTAAACACAACGTTGTAACTAAACTACACTCCAATAAAATTAAAAATGAAACAAAAGAAGCCTGGTCAAATTTGATAGCTCCTTCCCACAAACCTGTGCGTATAGTGTTAGAAAAATCCTACTGGCACATGCACAGCAAATTGGAACAGAGCTTTGTCACCCTTTATAATTACGAACCAATTGAAGGGACAGGGTAAACTCAAAATTGCATTTATTTTGAGAAATTACTCATCTAATTCCAGAAACACTTATGCCTAAAGGAAATCATCTTAAATAGTTTTCTCTTCCACAAAACACGTTTTTCTCCCAATTATTTTCTGAATAATCTTCCCTCCCCCCGCACCCTGCTTTTTTTGGTGAGAAGTTAAGAGTCTCTTTGGGGTGACAGCTTATTTTGTACAAATAACAAGAGAAGGCATCGATGTCGCATCCACCAGGGCTTTCTGAAGGGGAATTGTGAAATGATGGGCACAACACACATCAATTACACTCTCCGTCTGGACCATAAATTCCTCTTTACCACCTACGGCGAGAAGGATGTCAAAATGCTACTTCAAGGCGGGGGGGCAGGCAGGGATGAAGCAGCCACTGGGCACCCCCTCCAGTCCACTCCCCACGAGCTGAAGCCAGCCATGGGTTCCAAGTGGACAGGTGGACGGAACTCATCCTGCCCAGACATGTGCGTCTGTACTGAAATACCCGTCTTTAGACAGGACTTGCACAAAATCGTTAATGGTGATCTGCGGTGCTGGATTTAGCGACATGCTCGGACTCCACCCAGTATGGAAGTTAAAATTCAGCCCGGCCTCTTACCTTCTCTTGTAGCTGTCTGCAGAGCACAGGGCTTGGCGTACCAGGCCAATTAGGCAGACCCAGAGTGCTGCTAGAGCAATCACCCTGCAGTCCCCGACGGACTTAATGAGCGGGATGCAGCCCATCGACCAATCAAAACACAGCCACCAAGGGCACAGCAGCAGCCAGGCATTCAACGAATAGTAGTAATTATAGTTTATGGCCTGCCAGTCAAGAGAAAAACAAACATTTATTTGATACTGAACTTGGGAGAAAATACGTGTGTGTGTGTGTGTGTGTGTGTGTGTGTGTGTACACATATATATAGCTTAGCTTCCCTTTGGAGGCCTTCATGTTTCTGCTCAAGGAGCCCAGCCATATAAAACAAAATGTTGCCACTTTCTGCTCTGGGCACTGGGCTGAAGTGTGCAGTTGACTAAATGCATTGAGATTTTTTTTTTTTAATTGATAAAAAATACAACAAAGCCAACAGACTCTGCTTTACATTTGTTATATTTCTGGGGACACTATATCCCAATTACTCACTGATGCCCCAAGTCCGTGACCCAGGAAATCTGTGGTCCAGAGGTCACCCATGTGCCTGACAATATAAGCATGGGGTTCTATGGTCTTTGATTTCTGTTCGTATGAAATGCACAGCTAAGACACCCTTGCCTTCAGAAAAAGCAAACCTTGACAAGAAAGGCTGGATGGCGTTAAGACTTTTAAAGACACCACCAGTAGGGACTTCCCTACAGTACAGTAGATAAGAATCCACCTGCCAATGCAGGGGACATAGGTTCGATCCCTCGTCTGGGAAGATCCCACATGCCTCGGAGCAATGAAGCCTATGCACAGTTACTGAAGCCTGCGCACCTACAGCCGGTGCTCCGTCACGAGAGAAACCACCAAAATGAGAAGCCCGGGCACCCAACTAGAGTAGGCCCAGCTTGCTGCAACTAGAGAAAGCCCGCACAAAACAACCAAGACTCAGCGCAGCCAAAAATAAATAAACACACTTTTAAAAAGTTGTGTTAAACCGTCAATATGTTATATTTTATCTTAACCTCAACACGTCAATTTCCATTATACCAAAAGTAGGTTAGGGGACAATTTAAGGAGTCTGGCAAGAAATCGGACATTTTCTAAACCTTTCCTCTTGATTTCGTTTAGAGTGAAAGTGAAAATAGTAGTTGCTCAGTCTGTGTCTGACTCTTTGTGATCCCATGGACTGTAGCCCACTGGGCTCCTTGGTCCATGGAATTCTCCAGGCAAGGATTCTGGAGTGGGTTGCCATTTCCTTCTCCAGGGGATCTTCCTGACCCAGGGATCGAACCTCAATCTCCTGCATTGCAGGCAGATTTTTTTACCGTCTGAGCCACAAGGAAATGCAAAGAGTTTACACCCTCTCAAAGCCCTGATAAAAACCTGGTTTCACCCTAGAACGTCCTCGGTGAATGGAAACACCCGTGGAGGTATTCTGATTAACAGGGGCTTTTGTGGGTATGTTGGGGAGGGAGGTGAGGAGGAGGAGGGAGGGAAGACCTGGGGATCTGGTGGGCAAAGATGACCCAGCAGAGGACGGACGCGGGACTCACCCTGACTAGCATGCTGTCGGCGAAGGAGGCAGGGTTGTCCACCTCGGTGAAGGCGGGCGGGCCAGTGCCCATGATCTTCCAGCGCACATACAGCACCCCAGCTCCCCCAAAAGCCAGGAGGGCCATTCTGAAGAGGAGGCCCCCCGTCCGGAGCACACCAGGGCTCTGAAAGGACAGCGCAAGGCCCCCAGTGTTGAGGATTTTTCAAATAAAAGTGTGGCCAAGCCAGGTATAAATGTGCAGCAATTCTGGCTGAACCTCACTGACACTGGGCTTTAAAAGGCTGCCTGTTTTAGAACTCAAAGTTGCAAGAAGTACTTTGAAAATGGTATTTTAAACCAGTGGGTATGTGACATTTTCCACGTCTTGGCTGGAGACAAAAGCAGATACTCACCTCTAATGATCTGTCTTTACGGAGGAACTTCTGGACAATTTCCAGGACATTTAATTTGCCTATCACCAAGACATCGAAGACAGCATTGAGACCCTAAAAAAGCAAAGCAAGGAATCAGCCTTGGGACAGCCTAACTCTGATCAGGTAGCCAGGATACGTCACAATTCTATTGCTGAATTTAGACGAGAAATGTCCTGGATTAGATCACCGTAGATAATCTCTTAAGCTCTAAAAACAAAACAAATCCTACTGTTTCTATGAAATTAGCTCATGGTATTTGTATCAAATTTACTTCTTTATTTCTTTAATTCTTGGTTGCACTGGGTCTTTGATGCTACGCACAGGTTTTCTTTAGTTGTGGTGAGTTGCAGTGTGTGGGCTCCTCATTGCGCTGGCTTCTCTTGTTGCAGAGCACAGGCTCAACAGTTGTGATGCACAGGCTTAGTTGCCTGTAGCATGTGGAATCTTCCCGGACCAGGGATCGAACCTGTGTCCCGTGCATTGGCAGGCTGATTCTTTACCCCTGGACTACCAAGAAAGTCCCATCAGATTTGTCATCTAGTAAATCCCCTGTTAGTCACAGTTTCATAGCCTGCATACAAGAGTATGATAAGATGAAGGAGAGCTAGAGCCTTGGGGTTCCCGGAGAAGTTCTGCAGAGGCCCCCCCTTTCATTTTTTACCCCTAAAACAGTCCTGGAGTTGTAGCAGAGCCAAAACCGGTGCAGTGGCCATGCCTAAGATGATAAGGCAGCCAGCAATCTTGAAAACCCAGTCATGTAAGTAATTACACTTCAGGAACCTGGGGAGCTGCCTGATGAGGGCATATGCCCTGGAAGAGAGGGAACAGAACATACAGTCTCTGGTGGGGCTGCAGAGACATCCCAGGCTCAGACTCTTGGTCACCCACCAGCTCTCCCTTCCTGCCCGGCACGCAGCCAGCCCCGCAGGGGAGTGTGGTCATGTGACTGAGTTCCAGTCAATGGGATGTGGGCAGAAGCAATACCGCAGCTCTTGGAGGTTTGGTCATAGACCAGAGCACGTGCCACCCTGGGTTTCCCATCCAGCTGGCTGTGGAGGAGATGATGGAGGAGTCTGGAGTGGCACTGGAAACCGCACCCTGAGGACGGCAGAGCCCCACTGTGTGGAGGATGGTCACCTCTGCCCATGACTTTTATTGGGATGACCAGTAACTCCAAGTGTGCAAAACCCCTGGCCCTTGGACGTGTGATACTGCAGCTGCACTGATGCTAACAGCTTCCAGCAGCATCACCATAGTTCCTTTCTAGTAGATATGGCTGTTCTTAAAGCTCTGACGCCTGTGCTTACAAGCGGAGGCTCATCTAGCCTTGGACTCCACCCTTTACCCTGCAGTGGACTTTCCATAAACGTGGGTGCTGTAGAGAACGCCATGCAGCTGAACCCCCTGTTGGAACCAGGCAGAGCAGTCAGAACATACACTGTGTGGATGGTTCAAGCTGCCCTTTGAAGATGTGGGGCCTTCAAACACAGAGCTTTGTGGCAAAGACGATCGATCGTAAGTCGTCAGAAGCCAGTGGTAATTTGTGGTTTTCAGCGCAAGGGTGACATCTCTCCTCAGCCCCCTCCCATACATGCTGAGAGCCATTAATTATCCAGTACATGGGCCAGCGCTGGGTTAATCACTTCACAGAATGCTCATTTTATTCACCCGTGTGATGCATGATTTTACTGGGTCAGAGAGGACCATTTCTGCCTGGGTGTGAACCATTTTCTAGAAGGCAGGAAGCTCCCTGTTGAGCGGCGTTGTCTTCTTATGCCATGTGTTCTTCTGCCTGTGAGCTACAGGACAGTCACCCAGAGGTGACATGGTCAGGCTGTCATGAGGACTGAGCCCAGCACCAGTCTGGCACTCTCTCTCCCTTCGCATTTAAATCCATTATCAAAATGGCCACATTCTAGTCGGATTTTTGGAAACCTGCTCAACATGACCGTATCTTCATGAAAATTCAACCTAATTTTTTAGCGCTTTTCTTAACGGAGGTGGTAGTCACCTGGGAGCCTTGTGAAATGGAGGTGCTGATTCAGCAGGCCTGCGGTGGGGGTCTGAGACCCTAAATCTCTAAATAAGCTCCCAGATGGTGTCAACGCCACTGGTCCTCAAGCCATACTTTGAGACAAGCAAGACTTCAGGACGGCAGTTCTCACAGAATGATTTTCACCCCCTACCAGGGGGGTGTGCTTGGCAATGTCTGGAGACATTTGAGGTTGTCACAACTGAGGGACGGGGTGTCCTTCTGGCATCTAGTGGGAGACCAGGGATGTTACCAAATATCCTACGGTGCACAGGACATGCCCCAGAGAAAGAATGATTCAGCCTCAAATGCCAATAATGCCAAGGTTCAGAATCAGTGGTTTAGAGCAAACTTTTAAAAAAGTAACTCATGAGGTTCTAGTATCTTTGCACAGTAATTCTTTCTATACCGTTTCCTAGCTAGCTGACCTTAATCATATGGATCGAATCCAATAAAACCATTTATCTTTGCCTTGACTGGTGTCCAGCCCCAAAGAGCTTAGACCTGGGAAAGGAAGATCCTTTGCCACGGCTTCCTGTATGGGCCCCGCACACCCCACATCTCTGTTTTCCATTTGTCTACAGCTCTTCACATCCCTAATGTCTCAGTTTCCCTCTGATAACGTAAGGCAGAAAATTAGCTAGAACAGGGAAAAAGAGTGCATTTCCACGCCTCTCCCTTCCAGGGGCTTCTACTCAGATCAGACGTAGGGGGCACACACCTGGACCCTTCAGAGCCCTCTCCTGCCCTCCCTGACATTTCCGGACAAAGGCAAATATAACATAACACACACCAATGCTTGGTAATCAGGACCAGAAACAGCGGTAGGGTCACAACACGGCTGTACTTAGGACTGCTGAAACATGAAAGCACCCCACAACACTCTTCCTTTTCTCCAGGACCTCTCCACGGGGGCCAGTCACCTGCTCTTCAGAGCTGTCCCCTCTCCGTGTCCACCGGCTCTAATGAGAGTCACCCAACACAGGCAGTTCCCACCTGAACCACCAGGAGCGTGGTGGCACATGTAATCGGTCCAGAGAGGGCTAGGCTGAAGACTGCAACAGGGGTGCAGAGGGGGCACGCACAGGCCCCCGTGCGAAGGCAGCGTGAGGGGTCTTTGCAGGAGGGAGACGGGCGTAGGGAGAGCAGCCCCCAGAGGCGCCTGGGGTCTTACCAGCACGGTGATCCCTTGCTCTTTGCATAGCATGGCCACTGCTCCCAGGAGGATGCTCAGCAACACCCAGAATGTGGAGTGGGTCTTCTCCCTGTTAGCTGCCGACCAGGAGAAACAACAAACGCACAGTCACTCAGCTCAGCTCAGTCTTGGGAGCTCCGGGAACTCAAATTCTCAGCGTGCACCTTACACAGTCATCGTTTAAAAACACTTTGGTCTTGAATGGCATTTCTCTGTGGGCCAGTGAGTTAGACCCGCATTGCTGGTTAGATGGTGGTAGCTCGGCGGGTGGAGAATCTGCCTGCAATGCAGGAGACCCGGGTTTGATCCCTGGGTTGGGAAGATCCCCTGGAGGAGGGCATGGCAACCCACTCCTGTACTCTAGCCTGGAGGATTCCATGGACAGAGGAGCCTGGCAGGCTATAGTCCATGGAGTTGGAAGGAGCTGGACATTTTGGACTTTTTTTGTGGCTCAAGATATGATTGAGCGACTAACACTTTCACTTTCTATATGGCACACACACCCCCTTCTCCAGGTCCCCCAGCAGGAGCCCAGAGCCTTCGGGAGGCGCTGCAATGCAGCCCTGGTACAAAGACATCTCAAGGCAGAGTTCCCAGGGGCAAGGTCCTTCTTCCCAGCCTGACAGTCACCTAACAGGCCATTCTGACAGCTTGTGCCGAGGACTCCCACGGGTGGTGTAGACGCTGCATCTGGCTACCCCCCTCTGCTCTGAGAATCTCTACAACTCCTGGAGTCGGGGTCCAGCACTGCTCTGAGAGTGTCTACCACTTCTAGGTGGAGTCTGGGCTCTCTGAACCCCAGATGCCTTAAGAACACCTGCTCTGCTACCAGCGTGGACTAGTTCTGAAAGATGCCGGGACCATTGAGCTCACCTGCACGGATACTCAAGCATCAACAGGAAACCAAAACCTCAGCAGAAATGTGACCGCGGCAGCAAGCCGCTTGGCTTGGGTGTGGCTGGGCTGCAGTAATAACTGATGGTCCCTGAACGCCTTTTGAGGAGGAAGGGTCTGCTCTCTACTGGCAGCGGGTGTGGATGATGCAATTTGGGGACCAGAGCTGACCTGCTCCGGGCAGGAGAGGAGAAGGCACATGTGATACTCCTCTCTGTTCTTCGTGAGGTCCTCAGCTCCTCACTGAGGTCAGTGGTGAACAAACATTTTATGAAGACCTAAGTGTGAGGTGGGGCAAAGTGAACCTGCTTGGAGGAGGTGCCCCTGGGTCTTGGGTCAGCTCTGCCTAAAACCAGAAACCCTGGCCTAAATTCCAGCTCTGCGGTTTACCACGTGACCTGGAGCAAGTTACTTGTACAGCCTCAGGGTCCTCATCAATAAAATGCGTGCAACAATAACTGTATCTTCCCTACTCGAGTGAGAAAAAAGGTATACAGAAATACCTGCCCATTTGTGTTAAAAGTTACATATAAAAGTTGCTCATACATGCAAAACATCTCTCTGGAGAACACATAGGAAACCAACTACAGAAGTTTCTAAACTGTTTTTTTTTCCCATACCATGCAGCTTAATCTTAGTTCCCTGACCAGGGATCGAACCCAGGCCCTGGCAGCAAAAGCGCCTGTGTCCTAACCACTGGACTGCTAGAGAATTCCCTCAACTTTAAGGAGAAAAATTTGGATAGGAGAGGAAAGAAATCTTACTTTTCACTGCAAAACCTTTCATACCATGTACATTTTTTTAAACTACGTGCATGAATTAAAGACCATACTAAAAACTAAACATCGAAAAAACAAATAAAAAACCTTGGTAGACTGCTGGGACCACAGAAAGCATTCACTGTTTGTTGCACATAAATCAGCAAAACCACCCCAGGTTCAAGGGAGAGGGTCTCCAATGGGGCTTTGATGCAAGGGGGCGACTGATCCATCACCTTGTCACCAAAATGTGCCACGCTTGCTATGCAGTGACAAGATACACCTTGGTTCTCATTAAACTGCTTGAGCAGAAAACCAACAATTAAGGTATGTGAGAGAGACAGGGAGACAGAGAGATGCATATCTTGAATGAAGTGGATACCTGGGAATCATCAGCAAAGCCCCAGACCAAAGTCCTGGGCTCCCTGTCCGGGATCAGCTGTGGGGTCTGGAGCCGGGGAGAGAGGATGCTGCTAACCTGGAACTTTCCACGTGTGGCTGGAGACTCCTCTCAGGATGCCAAGGGGCTGCACCCAGCCAAGCCCCCTGGACTCTCAACAAACTGTGAGCAGGACTGACCCCCGTGCTGTCTGAGGGCCCAGTCGGCTGGCTGGGAAAACGTCCTCACTCACACATAGGCCTTGGGGGCTGGAGATTCAGAAGTCAAGCAAAAGGACACACAGGCTGACACTGTCTGATCTTTTCAGCTTTTCTTGGGAATCTCTGTTGGATTTCCGGGATTAATGTACAAACAGCAGAACTGACAGAATACAAAAAAGTTTTATTTGGCTGTACAGTCAAGGCACCCGAAGGCTTTTCACCAGCCCAACTGATCAATAAACAGTAAAGCCTCACCGATTCAAATTCCATGCTCTCAAATCAACCAGCACTCTTGTTTTTAGTCTTTCTGATCTGATTCTTCCTGCCGTTGACAGGATGAAGGGGTCCCAATGCTGAAAACAGCACTTAGGGCCTTCCTTACAGGGTGACACAGCCTCTCCAGGTTCCCTGGGTCTAAATTTCAAGCACACGGGCCACTCTGCTTTCACTGGGCTTTGCACGTTCCCTTGTCTTAGGCTAGAATGCCCCAGAAGAATCCTGTGGCCATCAAAGATCACTTAGGCTGTGCAACCCACCCTCCTGGGCAGCCTCCCTTCTGATTCACATTTCATTCACAGTTGCAACAACAGCAAATGGTCCTACTGTGTGCACGCCTGACTGCCCAAGTAGCAGGGTCTGTCCCATGCACCTCAGTGCCCCTAACTGACCCCCTACATTAAGTCAGGCCCAGCAGTAGCACCCAAGATGGCCCTAAGCACAATCTACTAGCGTGTTCTTCTCAGACTTCACTACCAATGCTTGATTTTCAGCTCTCATCTTTGGCAGTGCTGACACGTGGGTCAATTCTCAGCATTGGAGGATGTTCGGTGCCTCCCTTGTTTCTACCCCCCCGGGAAGCCAGCAGCCCTCTGAGCTCTCAGTTGTGATGACCCAAAACATCAGGCTTTGCCAGATGTCCTGGGTGGGAGGGGATCATGCCCAGTGGAGACCATTAAACTAACCAGTGCCACTCACAGCGTGTGGTCCTGCCCTTGGATCTTCTAAGAAAGGCAGATGCTCAGGCCCTCCAGCCCAACCCAGACCCTTGGACTCAGAGACTTGAGTGTGGAGCACCACTGAAAGCCTGTTAACCAGCCATCTAGGTGATTCTGATGCCACCGGTCGAGGAGCATCACCCTTGGTGGGAAGCTTGCTCACAGCTGCATCCTGGGTACCAGGCCTGGCTCGTTGGAGCATCTTCTCCAAGTGCCAGAATCTGGGGTACCTGATTACCTATCAGGAGGGGCAGGGAACTGACAAATCACAGAGCCATAACGTAGGAACAGCTGGAGCGCTTCCAGGAGGTTGTGCCTGTGATCTCCCTGGCAGCGATGGCAGAGCGGGAATCCCGCCCAGGATGCTGCAGGCAGGGGGCCACATGGCTGTGACTTTGAGAACTGATAGTCCATTTCAGTTTTAACTTCAAGTGAGCCCACGCCTGCTTTCTACCTGCCTCCCACCGTCCTGAGCAGCATCTCTCCAATATCCCAGGTGGCACAGTGCCTAGAAGCCAAGTTGTCTTTATTGAAATCCATGGTATATCAGAGTATTTAGTTCCATCAAGCAAACTAAGGATAATTTCACTTGTAGAAATTAATTACATTATACATGTAACACCAAGAGATCACAATTACTAGCCCCAATCACAAAGCCCTGTTACATTAGATATGATTGCATTGGGGTATTCATGTATTTATTGGGATTTATTATTTTCTCTGGGCTTCTCTCACAGCTCAGTTGGTAAAGAATCCACCTGCAATGCAGGAGACCCGGGTCTGATTCCTGGGTTGGGAAGATCCCCTGTAGAAGGGACAGGCTACCCACTCTAGTATTCTGGCCTGGAGAATTCCATGGACTATATAGCCTATGGGTTCACAAAGAGTTGGACACGACTGAGCAACTTTTACTTTGGGCATTTGCTAGCAATCAGCAACAGACAAGTGTTTATAGACACCAAGGCATTGAGACCTTTAAAAAAAAATATGGCCAAAGTAGAGGAAAAGCTAATGGATCATTAATTTCTCTTAGCATATGATTTTGAGAAAAGTCCCACAAGTTTCAGCAGGTGAGCACAAGGGTCCAGGCCAGGGCAGAAGGGCCACGCTCACGCCACAGCACACCAGAGGATGGGCACCCCACGCCTTCCGACACATGAGAGCGGTGGGTGGAAGGTGACCCCACAGGTCTTGTCCTCTCCTCTCAGTGTAGGGTGTTCTCTCAGCCCTTCCTCCTGTAACACGTTGTGCTGAGTCTGCATCCAACCACTTTTAGGGAGTTGCTCATATCAGCAGTTTATATGCAAATATGTGTGTGCTCAGTCATGTCTGACTCTTTGCAAACCCATGGACTGTAGTCTACCAGGCTCCTCTGTCCATGAAATTTTCCAGGCAAGAATACTGGAGTGGGTTGTCATTTCCTCCTCTGGGGGATCTTCCCGACTCAAAGGCAGGCGGATTCTCTACCACTGAGCCACCCAGGAATCCTTATATGCAATAGATAACCCCTTAATTATAAACGAACCCATTAATTACCATGGAGCCTGCGCCCTTGAAAACCCCACACCTCAGACCCAGCCATTGTGTTCATATCCACTAGGCATTAGGTTCAGTAGTTCACTAGAAACCATAACGGAGAGACTTCCCTGGGGTCCAGTGCTTAGGACTCCAGATTTCTACCACAGGGGGCATGGGTTTGATCCCTGGTCGGGGAACTAAGATCCAGGAAGTCATATGGAGCGGCCAAAACAACCCCTCCAAAAACAAAACAAAACAAAACCCACAAATGAACCTCTTCCCTCCTCACCCCCTTTACCGGAATTTGATTTT